CTGCTGCTGCTGCTGCTGCTGCTGCTGCTGCTGCTGCTGCTGCTGCTGCTGCTGCTGCTGCTGCTGCTGCTGCTGCTGCTGAACTGCTCTGCTGCTCGCTCGAACGCCGCATTTGCTCGCTCCACTGCTGCTTCTTGCGGCCAGCTCGCGCTTCTGCTGCTGCTGCTGCTGCTGCTGCTGCTGCAGACACAACGAGGAGATCCACAACCAGGAGTTGTCTCAGATTTGTCCCTTTCCCGTCTCCGACGAAACTTTCGAGTCTCCCCACACGAAGACCTTTTTGCTGCTGCAGGCGCGGCTCTTCAAAAGGCCTTTGCCAATCACAGATTACAACACTGACCTCAAAAGCGCCCTCGACAACTCCATGCGCATCATACAGGTCTCCTGCTGCTGCTGCTGCTGCTGCTGCTGCTGCTGCTGAGGCTGCTGGGGGGGTGTTGCTGCTGCTGCTGCTGCTGCTGCTGAGGCTGCTGGGTGGTGCTGCTGCTGCTGCTAGTGCAGCAGTGGCTGCTGCTAGTCGTCGCGAGGAAACGACCGTCATTTGGAGCTCTGTTTGAGAAACAGCAATCATGTTGCTGCTGCTATGGCTGGCTGCTTCTGCTGCTGCTGATGATACGTCGGTCGCTTGCTGCTGCTGCTGCTGCTGCTGCGTTTCTGTATGTGCTCCCCTGAGCTCGCTGTGGGGCCTTTAGGGTTTAGGGTTTAGGGTTTAGGGTTTAGGGTTTGGGCGTGTGGGTGCTGCTGCAGGCAATGGTTGATGTTGCTGCTGAAGAGGCGCAGCTGCAGCACGCGCTGTACACTTTGCTGCTGCTGCAGTGCCTCCGTGCTGCAACACATCCCGCCCGCAGCAGCCTCTTTTGGCTGCCGCACATAACAGACGAAGCAGCAGCAGCACTGCAGCAGCAAGGGCTGCTCTCCCTTGCCCACGTGCGCCAGGGGCCTCGCTTCAGGGTTTAGGGTTTAGGGTTTAGGGTTTAGGGTTTAGGGTTTAGGTTGGGAATTGGGGATTTGGGGTTTGGGCAGAAGTTGAGGGTTTAGGGTCTAGGGTCGCTGGAACGCAGCGTGGCGGTCACGCCGATAGTGCTTGGCTCAGGGTTTAGGGTTTAGGGTTTAGGGTTTAGGGTTTAGGGTTTAGGGTTTAGGGTTTAGGGTTTGCGCGCAGCTGCTAGAGTGTCGTTCGCCGTCTCCGGCTCTGGAGAGAGCTGGCCTCAGTTCAAAAGAAAGTCAGGAAGTAATTTCAGTTCTTTCTAGAATACCCAGAGTCCGCATGCGGTACTTCCTTTATGCTGCTGCTGCTGCTGCAGCAGACACAGCAGCAGCAGCAGAAGACGGAGCAGCAGCAGCAGAAGACGAAGGAGCAGCAGCAGCAGCAGCAGAAGGCGAAGACGCAGCAGCGGTGGAGGAAGAGGTTGTCTTCAATCGGCTAGAGCCACAAGTCATTAAAGGGCCAGATGGTACTGTCCCCTGCTGCTGCTGCTACTGCTGCTGCTGCTGCTGCTGCTGCAGTTGGTCCTGCTGCTGCTGCTGCTGCAGTAGGACCTGCTGCTGCAGCTCTTATTCTCGTGGCTTTCGCTGTGGGCGCTGCAGCTGTTGCACTTACCTTACTTGGCTGCATGCAGAGCCTTACGTGTATCTCCTGCTGCTGCTGCTGCTGCTGCTGCTGCTGCTGCTGCTGCTGCTGGCCCTCAGGAGAGCCCACGCGGGCTTACCTCGTGCCTGCAGCAGCAGATCTGCAGCTGGAGGTACACCTGAAGGCTTTGGGACCTGCAGCAGAAGGTTCTTCTGTGGCCAGGGGGGGCCCCAGCTCTAGCTGGTAACACCCAAAGGGTTTAGGGTTTAGGGTTTAGGGTTTAGGGTTTAGGGTTTAGGGTTATGGGTTTAATTGGTGTTTTCGCGACTCTGCTGTGCCCTCTGCGGCATTGCAGACTCAAGACCACCAGCTCTCGTCTAGACCGCAAAGTTCAGGGTTTAGGGTTTAGGGTTTAGGGTTTAGGGTTTAGGGTTTAGGGTTTGTGCTGCAGGTTCGTGATACTGGGGGATGCTGATGAGGCAGCAGATGAACTGGTGGCGCTGCGCCGCGTGCGCCTGAAGCCCCTTGGGCGCACGCAGTTGACTCTAGAGTAGGGTTTAGGGTTTAGGGTTTAGGGTTTAGGGTTTAGGGTTTCTCTTTTCGTCTATTTGCCGCTCCGCAGCCCTTTTTTCTCCCTTTTTGTCTCTTTTTGTTTCTATTTGTCTCCTTTTATCTTTTTTCTTTTTTATTTTTTAAATTTATTTTGTTTTTTTAACTTTTTTCTCTTTTCTTTCTTGAATCTACTTCGTTTCTTTTTGTCTTTTTCTTTTCGTTTTATCTCCATTTAATGTTCCTTTATTTCTTTTATTTCCTTTCTTTTCTTTGATTTCTTTTACTTCTTTATTTCTTTTATTTCTTTTATTTCTTTTATTTCTTTTATTCCTTTTATTTCTTTTATTTCTTTTATTTCTTTATTTCTTTTATTTCTTTTATTTCTTTTATTTCTTTTTTTTAATATTCAAAAATTCGACTGTCTCCTTTTGCCCACAGCTTTTCAGCCCCTGAGGAGACAGGCGAAATTTTCACTTTATCTCTTTTCTTGTCCAGCGATTTCTACTTCGGCATAGACCAACAAACCACCATTACTTTCAAAACTTACTAACTATCACCTTTGGGGGCCCCTCAGGGGCCCCTCAGGGGCCCCTCAGGGGCCTCTTGGGGGCCCCTCAGGGGCCCCTCAGGGGCCCTTCAGGGGCCCCTCAGGGGCCTCTCACGGGCCCTTCAGGGGCCTCTTGGGGGCCCCTCAGGGGCCCCTCACGGGCCCTTCAGGGGCCTCTTGGGGGCCCCTCAGGGGCCCCTCACGGGCCCTTCAGAGGCCTCTTGGGGGCTCCTCAGCGGCCTCTGAGGGGCCCCTCAGGGGCCCCAATGGGGCCCCTCGGGGGCCCCTAGGGGACCCCTTGGGGTGCCCGAGGGGCCCCCTTGGGGGTGTCTTGGGGCCCCCTCGGATAGCTTGTTTGGGGGCCCCTTGGGGTCCCCAGGAGAGGGGCCCCGCACAGGGGGCCCCAGGGGTACGGAAAGGGTACAGGGCCCCTTGGGGGCCCCAAGAACGCAAAAAGCTCATGGGGGCCCCCATGGGGTCTTCCGGAGCGCTGAGGGCCCTTAGGGGCCCCTTGGGGCCCCCAAGGGGCCCCTCTGCGCTTCTAGGGGGCCCCACTTCAAGAGGGTTTCTTCAAGGGGGCCCCTGTAGGAGCCCCTACAGGAGCCCCTGCAGGGGGGCCCCCCAGGAAGTGAGCCTCTATGGGGGGCCCCCATATTTGAAACGTTGTATTGAGGGGCCCCCTTCTCTAGGCTACAAACCCTAAACCCTAATTCACAAATACTAAACCCTCAAGACCCTGGGGCGCAGTGTTCCTTGGCTTCTGCTTCTGTTACTGGGTTTTAGGGTTTAGGGTTTAGGGTTTAGGGTTTAGGGTTTAGGGTTTAGGGTTCACGTACAACTGCTGCAGATTGTTACATTCGCTGTTAATGGGTGGTGCTGTAGCTCAGCCACCAACAACTGAAGGCCCTTGGCAAATTAGGGTTTAGGGTTTAGGGTTTAGGGTTTAGGGTTTGTTGCTGAAGTGTTGACGAGTAAACCCTCGCGCCCACAGCCTGGTTTGAAGAGCTCAGCAGCTGCAGCTGCAGCAGCCGCTGCAGCAGCCGCTGCAGCAGCAGTAGCTGCAACAGCAGCGGCTGCGACAAGCAGCAGCAGCATCAGCAGCTGCTGCAGTAGCATGGAGTTCTTTAGCACGGACTGCAGCAGCAGCAGCAGCTGCAGCAGTAGATCCCGTGGCCAGATCTTTGGCGGCTAGCTGTGGCTAGCTGTAGCTAGCTGTGGCTAGCTAGCTGTGGCTAGCTAGCTGTGGCTAGCTGGGGCTATTTAACACTTATATAAATCAATGAATAGAAGCTCTTTAATCCACCAAAGGGCAATGGCGGTCCTGGGGGCCCCTGGAAGCCCCCTAGAGGGGCCCCTGGGGCCTCAGAGGGCCCCAGGGGGCCCCAAGGGGCCCCAGGGGGCCTCAGGGGGCCCCTGGGGCCCCTAGGGCCCCAAGGGAGCTCTGGGGCCCCCAGGGAGGCCCCTGAGATCCCTGGGGGCCTTTCTAGAAGGCAAAAGCCCTGAGAGCCCCCAAGATGGCGGCCTTAAGTGTGGGGGCCCCTGGGGGCCCCCAGGGGCCCCTAAGCTGTCCCATGAGGACCCCTGGGAACCCTTTTAGATGCATCTCCAGCCTGGGGGCCTCTTGGGGCCCCTCCTGTGTACCTTGGGGGTGCCCCCAAGGCCTTTGAGGGTCTCTGGACCCACAGAGGGGCCCCCAGGGGCCCCCTAGTGCCGCGAGGGGCCCCAGGGGGCCCCCTGGGGCCCCCTGGGGCCCCCTGGGGGCCCCTGGGGGCCCCCTGTGGGTCCTGCCCCCTTGGCCTAACTTTGTGGCTTTTGATTGCGATGTATGTACAGCTGGCTGGTGGCTTTATGAGTCATTCCATAAATTTGTTTTGAGTTTTTTTTTTCTTCTTTGAGATGCCAAAAAGATGAAACATGAAGTAATATTAGTTGCTTATCAAGCCACAGACTAGCCAATACGCTGCTTTGGGGTTTAGGGTTTAGGGTTTAGGGTTTAGGGTTTAGGGTTAGGGTTTAGGGTTTAGGGTAGAGCGCCGAGTAGCTAGGAGTTTAGGGTTTAGTGCGTTGGGCTCGCGGCTCTGCGTTTAAAGTTTAAAAATTGGGGTTAAGGGTTTAGGGTTTAGGGTTAGGGTTTAGGGTTTAGAGTCAAAGGCGTAGAGTGTAGAGCCTTTTGGGGTTCGACGTTTAGGGTTTAGTGTTCAGAGCTTAAATCTGAGGGCCAAGCTTTAAATGTGTAGGGTTTAGGGTTTAGGGTTTAGGGTTTAGCGTTTGCGGTCAGGGTTTACAGACTAGGGTTGAAGGTCCAGGGCGTCGGGTTTCGCGTTCAGAGTCTAGGGTTTAGGGTTTCCGTTTTAGGGTTTACTGTTCAGAGTTTCAGGTACAGAGTTTAGGGTTTAGGGTTTAGGGTTTAGGGTTTAGGGTTTAGGGTTTAGGGTCTAGGGCCCTTGATCGATGGCCTGGGGCTGCTTGGGGACTTGGGAGAGCCACGGAGGTCTGGCCTCCCTGCGCGGTTCCTAAACCCTAAACCCTAAACCCTAATCTGTAAACCCTAAACCCTGAGTTAGGTTTCCTTTTTGTTTGTTTTCTTGAGTTATTTTTAAAAACCACTAGTTGCTGCAGCGGCGAAGCACGAGCTGCTGCTACTGCTACTTCCCAGCAGCAGCTGGGGGCCCCCGTGCTGCTGCTTCTTTGTCTTAACCCCTGAAGGCTAGGCCTTGGGGGCCCCCCTTGGAGTTTAATAGTTAAAAAAGGTGTTTTTAAAACCCTAAAGTCCAGCTTTGGGGCCCCTGGGTCTTCTGCTGCTGCAGCAGCAGCCAGCGGCTCTGCTGCTGCTGCGATCTGCGCCACTGCTGCAGCTTCCTTGCTGCTGCAGGCCCCTGCTGCTGCTGCTGCTGCTTGGTTCGCCAGCAGTTGCTTCGCTGCACTTAGGAGCTGCTGCTGCTGCTGCTGCTGCTGCAGCTGGGCGGCCCACCGGACAGCAGCAGCAGCAGGGCAGCTGTGGAGCGCTCGATCTGCCGCCGCAGCAGCAGCAAGGGCAGCAGCAGCAGCAGCAGCAGCAGGGGCAGCGGCAGCAAGAGCAGCAGCAGCAGCAGCACCGCCATCGGAGGGGCCTCATGTGGTATCGGAGATGTGGGGCCGGCGCGGACCGAGAAGCAGGGTGCTGCTGCTGCAGCAGCTGCTGCTGCAGCAGCTGCTGCTGCAGGCGTTGCTGCTGCCGCTGACGCCGCTGTGTCTGTCGCTGACAGCAGCAGCAGCAGCAGCAGCAGAGGGCGCAGCAGCAGCGCAGCAGCCCGCAGCGGCCCCGGGCGCGGAAGACGCCGCTGCTGCAGTCGCCGTGCAGCAGCCCCCCGCAGCAGCAGCAGCAGCAGCAGCAGCAGCAGCAGCAGCAGCAGAACTGAGCAGCCGCAGCTCAGCAGCAGGAGAGTGGGGCCCCTCCCCGCTGCTGCTGATGATGCGGCAGGCGAAGCAGCAGCGGCAGCAGCAAAGACACAAGAAGGGCCTCTCAGCTGTCTGTACAGCTAATGCTCTTTTAGCTCTTCTTTCCACTTTTCTTGTTTTCATTTATGTCGCCAGAGCCCGCGCCAGGCGCTACACCCCAGACGTAAACCCTAAACCCTAAACCCTAAACCCTAAACCCTAAACCCTGACGCCTCCAGGCGCCCTAAACCCTAGCGAGGCCCACGCCCGAAACCCTCGCCTTCGTGCGCAGCCCTAAACCCTAAACCCTAAACCCTAGCGTTGCTGAAAACCCCAATCGCGACACGCAGAAAGGTCTACGCAGCAGCAGCAGCAGCAGCAGAAGCAGCAGCAGCAGAAGCAGCAGCAGAAGCAGCAGGGGGCCTCCAGGGCCATCTGCATGCACCAGGTTGGGGGAGCAGCAGTCAAGGCTGCTGCTGCTGCTGCTGCTGCTGCTGCTGTTGCTGCTACGGGGGCTGCAGCGTGGAGGGCGTGTGGGGCTGAGAGTGACGCATGTGCTGCTGCTGCTGCTGCTGCTGCTGCTGCTGCTGCTGCTGCAGGAGCTGACTTTGAAGATGTCTCGTCAGGCGCGTTGGTTCAAACGTAAGTCAGCAGCAAATAAGAAAGAAGACAAAAAGTACTTTTAATTTAATTTTAATTTATTTTATTTTAATTTATTTTATTTTTGATTTATTTTATTTTTAATTTGTTTTATTTTTTAATTTTGGATCTTCTTGTTTTTCTTCTTTTTTGCTGCCAACAGCAGCAGACTTCTCTTTCCTTTTGCTTCTTTGAACTGCCTCAAAGTCTTTTTAATTCTTCCAAATTATCTTTAATTGTTTCATTTTGTTTCAATTATTTTTATTTATTTATTTATTTATTTATTTATTTATTTATTTATTTATTTATTTATTTCTTTTTCTACTTTTGCTGCAGCAAAACAAGCAGCCTATTCTGCTGCCGACGGCCACGTCTATCTCGTCACTCTCGACTTCCGAGTAAGTACCCACTAACCCCCTCAAGGGGGCCCCCCAGGGGCCCCCCAGGGGCCCCCCGGGGCCCCCCGGGGGCCCCCCGGGGCCCCCCAGGGGCCCCCCGGGGCCCCCCAGGGGCCCCCCAGGGGCCCTCAAGGGGCTCTCACGGGGGCCCCTAGGGGCCCCCCGGGGCCCCCCAGGGGCCCCCAAAGGGGCTCTTGAGGGGGCACCAAGGGGCCCCAAGAGTGGCCCCAAAGGGGTTCCGAAGGAGCCCCCTAGGGGCCCCCAGAGGGGCCCCCAATGGTTCCACAAGGGGCCCCCTGGGGGCCCCCAAAAGGGGCCCCAAGGGGCCCCTCGTTGGGGCCCCATGTGGGACCATTTTGCTGCAGCAGCAGCCTTTAGGAGGTTTAATAAGTTTGGAATTAAATGAAATGTATTTAATGGATTTGTTTATATTTTCATAAATCTAAACTTGTTTAATAATTAGTGTTTTATGTAAAGTTTTTATTTGTTGCGGCTGCGCTGCAGGGCCTGGAGCGCGTGGTGCTGCCCAAGAGGTACTCTCAGCAGGTAAGGGTTTAGGGTTTAGGGTTTAGGGTTTAGGGTTTAGGGTTTAGGGTTTAGGGTTTTGTCTCCCCGTTTGTCTGTCTCCGTCGCTGTTTGCTTCTGTGTTTCTCTTTATGCCCTTAGCTGCTGCTGCTGCGGCTGCCACTGTTGCTGCTGCTGGTGTCACTCCTGCTGCTGCTGCTGTCATTGCTGCTGCTATAACTGCCCGCTGCTGCTGCTCCTACTGCTGCTGCTCCCACTGCTGCTGCTGCTGCTGTGACTGCCACAGCTGCTGTTGCTGCTATCTTCGCTGCTGTTGCTGCTACTGTTGCCGTTGCTGTTGTTGCTGCTTCGACCACTGCTGCTGCTGCTGCTATTGCTGCTGTTGCAGTCGCTGCTGCTGCAATTGCTGCTGCTGCTGCTGCAACCGCTGCTGCTGCTGCTATCTCTGCTGCTGCTGCTGCAGGAAAAGGAGAACCTGATTGGTTTATTTGAAAGAGCTCTTTTGTACTTCGAGGGAGTTCCCCCCCAGGAGACGAGCGAGTGTAGGTGTTCTTTTTTTATTTTTATTTTTATTTTTTATATTTTTATTTTTTCTTATTTTTCTTTTTCTTTTTATTGTTTGTCTCCTCTTTTGCTTTTTTCTCTTTTCGTCCTTCTGGCTCGACCCACAGGAAGTTCCAGTGTCTGTACACCGCATTCTAGGAGCAGAAATGGTGGCTGCGCTCTTCCGATGCAACTTTTTGATTTTTTCTCTTTATTTCCTTTTCTTTTTTATTTCTTTTTTCTGAATATTTCACCTATTTGCGCTCTGGGGTGTCTAGACACCTCCTCAGCCTTTTGGAGAGCTTCACGAGGTGTCTGTACACCTCAGCCCCACGAGGTGTCTGTACACCTCAGTTTCACGAGGTGTCTGTACACCTCAGCCTCACGAGGTGTCTGTACACCTCAGCGCCGTTCAATGTTTGTTTTTGCGTCTTCAGATCTCATCGAGAGCTGGAGCCCCTCAGACAAGATTCCGCCTATTGACATTCACATAGTGCGGTTGCCCAAGGGGCAGAACGTGGGCCGGCATTAGGGTTTAGGGTTTAGGGTTTAGGGTTTAGGGGCTGCGCGCGGGTTTAGGGTTTGAATGAATGGGTTTGAATGCCCCCGCCCCGGCTGGGCAAGCCTGCTGTAGCAGCGTCAGAAGCCCTGCACACACGAGGAACAGGGATAGGCGCATGCACAAATGCATGCATGCATGCACGCATGCATGCATGCATGCATGCACGCATGCACAAATGCATGCATGCACGCATGCATGCATGCATGCATGCATGCATGCGTCATGCATGCTTTTGCTGCGGCTCTAGCATGCGTGCACACTGGAGCTTACGTGCATGCCCCTGACCCTGGCAACTCTCTTCTTTTGCTCACCTACGTGCATGCATGCATGCATGCATGCATGCATATGCGCATGCATGCATGCATATGTGCATGCATGCGTGCATGCACCCAATGCAGCTCTCAGATGCATGCGCTACCTGGCGCGCATGCACGCATGCAGGTACCTCATGCATGCAACTAGTGCATGCATGCAGTGTGGCGTGAGAGCCCCAGCGGGCCTTGGGGCCCTTTGGGGCTTTTGTCTCCCAAGGAGAGACAGGTCACTGACTTTTCTTTTCTGCAACTGAAAGCAACTGGGCCTACTTGGCAGCAGCCAGCCCCCAATGCATTTCGTTTTGCTGTTTTGCTGCACCTTTAGCAAGCCTCAGCAGCAGCACAGAGTCGCAGCCCCCCCACGGCTAGCTGCGCTGGCTAGCTTTTGGCTAGCTGCGCTGGCTAGCCGTGGCTTTGTGGGGCGAGCCCCACGGTAGTTAGTTGTAGTGAGCTGGGCGTTGCGCGTCGGGCCAGCCGTGGCTAGCTCTGGCTAGCTGTGGCTATCTATGGCTAGCTGTGGCTATCTATGGCTAGCCGTGGCTAGCCGTGGCTGGCTATGGCTAGCTGTGGCTAGCTGGCCGCAATACGGCGGGAAGGGGAGCCTTTGCGTGCACTACTCTGACTGGATGGAGCGACTTTAAATGCTTGTGCAGCGTTGACGCATGCACACCTGCATGCATGCTTGCATGCATGCATGCATGGGTGCTTGCATGCATGCACGCACGGGTGCCTGCATGCATGCATGCTTGCATGCATGCACGGGTGCTTGCATGCATGCATGCACCCATGCATGCATGCACGCATGCGTGGACAGGTCCGCGCATGCATGCAAAGACCTGTTTACGCACGCGGAATTCCTAAAGCATTAATGCGAAGAACTGTGGGGCTGTGGGCCCTGAGCAGGTGGGGTGTACAGACACGTACATGGAAGAGTGAGATCAGATCTGCAGTCCAAAGACTTGCTGCTGAAGCATGCAGACATATACAATCTTTATTTATATTCTTCACGCAAGTTAACACTGCAAGCGCGGCAAAAAGCGGGCGAAAAGTGCATGCGCTTGACCCTGGGGTGTACGTACACCCGGACGGGCACACGGAGCACAACATATATAAAATACTTACAAGTGTAACATGTGAATTATATTCCGCAAATGTAAATTAAATGCACCAAATGGAAATAATTTACATCAAATTTCTCAAGATTGCACTTGGGTTGTTCTCATGCACTGTCTATACACCTCCAGTGCATCGAAAGCGCTCAGGTGTACGTACACTTCACAGGGAACAGAACGAAGCCACTTTTGAATCTCGTTTTACAAAAAGATTCGCAGCAACAAAAGAATTAAAATACCTAAATGAAATTTAGGCAGAGTGAGAAAGGCCTGCCCGCTGCTTTGGTCCGAGGCGTCGGGACCTCAGGGTTTTCTGCTGCATCTGCAGCAGCAGCAGCAGCAGCAGCTGCTGCTGCTGCTCCTGCCGCTGCATCGGGACCCGCACTGCTGCTGCTGCTGCTGCTGCTGCTGCTGCCTTCGCAGACGCTCGGGTCTTTGCCTACGTGCCATTTCGCCAGGGGCCAGAAAGGCGTCCGCTGGTGTTGCTGCTGCTGCGTCTGCTGCTGCTGCTGCACCCGCAGCAGCAGCAGCGGCGCTGCAGCAGCACAAATATCACTTGGCCCCCTTCGCCAAGTTCTTTCAAAATCTTTTTTAAAAGCATTAAAAGCCATTACAAAGAGTCGCAGCTGCTGAATTCCCGGCAGAGGAAGCAGCAGCAAAAAGACACTCCCACCCCACACTTTGAGGTGTACGTACACCCCGTGCACTGCATTTACTCCAAGTCTATGTCGGTCTCGATCCCGATCCCGCAGATGCGATCCCGCCGATCCCGCGCCCCTGGCGACCCCTGCTGCTGCAGTCTGCAGCTGCTGCTGCTGCTCGCTCCTCCTCGCCGCAGGAGCCCCAGCTAGCTGCTGCTGCTGCAGCAGCAGCAGCAGCAGCAGCAGCAGCTACCAAAAACAAAAGCGCAGCAAAGCCCTGGGGCTCTGCTCGCCGCGCAGCGTGTTGCGGCGCGGGCGCCCGCTGCTGCCGCCGTCGCCGCCGCGACGACGACGAGCTGCTGCTGCTGCTGCTGCTGCTGCTGCTGCTGCTGCTGCTGCTGCTGCTGTCAGGCGTCGCTGGACTCCTGGAGCTCAATGAGGGAGTCCAGGGTCTCGCTGAGCTCGAAGACTTCGCGCTGAAGAGCTCCTTTTGTCTCGAGAACTTCTTTGAGAGTTTCTCTCATGGGGGAAGGACTGTAAGGGTTTTTGACGGCCAAGACGAGGTCCCGCAGCAGCTCCAGCTTCTCTGCTGCTGCTTCCAGCCGCGCCTGCAGCAGCGACTGCCGCTTCCGCTGCCCCCGCTGCTGCTGCCGCTGCTGCTGCTGCTGCTGCTGCTGCTGCTGCTGGGGGTGGGCGGGGCTGTCCGCGGGCGCGGCCTGGGCGTCGGTGGGCTGCGCCGCCGGCGCTGCTGCTGCTGCTGCTGCTGCTGCTGCTGCTGGTGTTGCTGCTGTGGCCTGCTTCACCCGCCTGCGCATGCAGTCCAGCTGCCGCTTCAGCTGCTGCACTTCTTCCAAGTACTGACTTGTCAACAAGTCGAGGCCTTGCATGCCACTTTCGAGCAAGTCTGCTGCTCGTGCTGCAGCAACTTGCACTCTTGCTGCTGCTGCTGCAGCAGCGTTGAGCGCAGCAGCAGCGTCGGCGAGGGTCCTGGGCAGCTGCTGCCTGCGCTGCTGCAGCGCCGCGCGCTCCTGCTGCAGCAGCAGACTCTGCTGCGTTGCTGCTGCTGAGCAGCTCAGCAGGTGCTGCTGCAGCGACGCAAACCCTAAACCCTCGCTGCCGTAAGCCACCAAAGCTGCTTCATAACTTTCTCTCAAAAACTTTTCATATCCAAAAACTTGCATGCACTTTTCTGCTGTTACTTTCCTCACGTTGGCTTCCACAGCAGCAGCAAGTTCCCCCAGTTCTCCAGAGTTGTCCTTCAGCAGCCGCCGCGCAGCAGCAGCCACCTGCTGCTGCTGCTGCTGCTGCTGCTGCTGCTGCTGCTGTTGCTGCTGCTGCTGCTGCTGCTGCTGCTGCGCGCTCGCCTCCAGCAGCAGCTGCAGGTCCGCCTCCGTCGCCTGCGCCTGCCGCAGCAGCTGTGCTGCTTCTGCTTCCAACCCCACAGGCTGCAGGAACAGCAGCAGCTGTTCTGCTGCAGTAATTATTTTGTAAAGACTTGTTTGGTCAAACTGTTCTGCAACAGCGAAGGCCTGCACAGTCTGCGGGTCTTCTTTGGGGCCCCTCGCGAGCTCGGGGGCCCCCTGGGGGGCCCCCTGGGGGGCCCCCTGGGGGGAACCCGGGCCGTCGGGGCCCTCGGGGGCCCCGGGGGCCCCCCAGGGGCCCCCGGGGGCCCCCTCGGGGGCCCCGCTCTTCGACAAACCCTTTCGGGGGCCCCCCTTTCCCGAGTTTGCACCCACTAAGAACATTATGGAGCCGAAGGCAACCAAGACGCAAAGCTGCAGCAGCAAAAGGCGGTTGAGCTGCCGCTTGGGAGCAGCAGCAGCAGCAGCAGCAGCAGCAGCAGCAGCAGCAGAGGAGGCGTTGGAACTCGCGGAGTCTAACGCCGTGGAGGAGGGGGGCCCCTCTGGGGCCTCCCCACTCTCGGTGTAGAAGGAATAGGGGCCCACATAAGAAGCAGCAGCAGAGGGGGGCCCCACAAGCAGCGGGGCCTCGGCCTTGGAGACCCAGCTGGGGCCCAGCAAGTCGTACACATTGGTTTCGGTGTACGCTGCTGCTGCTGCTGCTGCTGCTGCTGCTGCTGCTGTGGGGCCCCACAGCAGCAGCAGGGGCAGCAGCCCGAGCCCGCCCATTTCGCGCAGCGCAACAGAAGGCGCGGGAGGGGCCCAAACCCTAAACCCTAGCAAGCAAGAGAAGACAAGAGGGGAATCCTGGGGGTTTGGAGTGCTTCCTGGGAGCCCCGCTGCGGCCGGCAAAGGGCCCTCAGGGCCCTTCTAGGGTTTAGGGTTTAGGGTTTAGGGTTTGGGGCTCATACTCTGCAGTGGGAAGGACGGTCTACATGAGGCGCTGCTGCAGCCGGACAACGGCTGCGGGCAGAACTCGCGGCGGGCAAGCCACAGGGCCCGAAGAATGGGAGGAATTGGAATTAAAATAAATGCATTTATCAATTTAAATACCTTTCTAAACCTGCAAGTCATTTTTAAAGAAGGATAGGCAAGGCGTGGGCCGCTGGGGCTGGTGTTGAGGGGGCTGGGTTCCCACTGGGAGCCCGAGCATCTTCCTCTCGGCTTGCTAGCTAGGGTTTAGGGTTTAGGGTTTGTCTCAAACCCTTCCCCCCTCATTTCTCGTCAAGTTCCAGCCCTCACTCGCAGGGTTTTGCTGCTTCCTGCTGCTGCTTCCTTCTGTTTTCGCGGATTTGCTGCGTCGGCGTTTGCTGCTCGTTTCGTGCCTTGAAACTCACAGGCTCAAAGAGCAAAAGGGCAGGGCTTGTTTCTCGTGGCTGCCTGAGGTTTAGGGTTTAGGGTTTAGGGTTTAGGGTTTGGGTCTCGGGGCCTGGAGTCAACGAGATTTGAAACTCTTGTTCTCGCCTCAGGCAAGACACAAAGAGTTGTCTTTTGTGAAAACATGGGGAAGGCAGAACAATTTTTATTTCATTTTTTCTGTTTCTTTATCTAAATTGCAAACCCTTTTGGGTTGAAGTGGCTTTAAAAGGAACCAAACGAAAATCTGCAAAAGCTCTAGTGTTCTGTGTCTGCACGTTGCCCGCAGGGGAGCGCCAGAGGGTGTTTAGGTTTTAGGGTTTGAAAATTAGGGTTTAGGGTTCATAAACTACGTTTTAGGGTTTGATTATCAGGGTTTAGGGTTTGCGTCGCGGCTTAGGGTTTACAGTTTCTTCGGAATGCAAATCGGGTCTGTGTTTCAGGTTCTGTAGAGAGTCTGTACAATATGAAGGCATGCATACTCTTATTCATGTATAATATATATATATAAACGTATAAATATTATATATATATGTATATATATATATATATATCCATGTGCATGTTTATAAATCCATTTGTATATGTGTGCATCAATACCTGTACAGAGAAGTGCATATTTGCATGTGCAGTTCGTTTGCAAGTAGAGCTGCATTTCTTTGACTCCACGTATATCAATTCCTCGCATTCGTTTTCGTGGCCTGATTGCCTCACAAAGCTCAGGCTTTAGGGTTTAGGGTTTAGGGTTTAGGGTTTAGGTCTCATTGTGGCCGGCCAGCCGGGAATTACTTGGCGAGGCTTCTGGCCATAGCGTGAAATTCACAACTGGGGATTTGAAAAGAGGTGCAGCAAAAGCTGTAGTCTCCCCAGCAGCAAAAGCAGCAGCAGCAGCAACAGCAACACAGCAGCAGCAGCAGCAGAAGGGAGGCCCAGTTGTGGCCGGCCCATTAGTGCACTTCATCGCAGCTCCCCTAATTCTTTGCTGCAGGCCCTTGCTCGGTGGCGTGTATGGATTAGGGTTTGGGGTTTAGGGTTTAAGCTTTAGGGTTTACAAAAGCGTTCAAAAGAAGCCTTAGAGTTTCCGAGGTTCCTATGGGCTCTCCGGGAAATACCAGCTTGGCCCGATTCCCCAAACCCTAAACCCTAAATTGGGGAATAGCCACAGGATAGGCCTGAAGCCTCCTTTGAGCAGGACATCTGCAGTGATCCACTTGAGACGAGGACGCCTGCTGCTGCAGTTGCTGCGTGTGCTGCTGCTGCTGTTGCTGCTGTTGCTGCTGCTGCTGCTGCTGGCCGGCTCTGGGGTTCAGGTCTCAGTCTAGAATTGGTATCTCTTCGACTTCCTCTGCAGCCTCCGCAGTGGGGTCTGGCGGAGCCTGTTTAGGGGGCACAAGCAGAGAAAATTTGGGGCTGCATGCGTTTATATTTATGCTTATACATATATATCTATATTTATATATATGCCAGATCTTTATTTTTAAACGCTGATTTATTTGCATTTATGCGCATGCAAGAAGCTGCCTTGTGCGCATGTGTTTCTTTATGGCTGCAGAGCGCCCAGGTGTCTGTACACCTCAGCCTTGCATGCGTGCGAGCTCATTATTTTCTCGTTCTTCTTTATTTCAATTATCCACTAATTAGTTTAGTTGCTGCAGCTGTGCCCAAAGATCAGCGTAACAGTTTGCTTCTGCTGGGGCTCTGAGGGGAACTGTCAACACTTTTAAAAAGCCCCGAAATGCTGCATGCAACTCCCGAAACTCACGTGCATCGCCGCATGCCTCAGTATTGCAGCGCGGACGTCAAGCTGCTTCAGCTCAGCCTGCACACAGCAGCAGCAGCCGCGGCAGCAGCAGCAGTGGCAGCAGCAGCAACAGCAGAGCAGCCTGCCCCTCTAGGCCATGCAAGAGAGGGGAAAAGGGAAGAAGCCATCACTCTTTACCTGCCAGCAAACAGCTGGAAGCAGCTTGCATGTTTGCTTTTAGCGCTTAGGGTTTAGGGTTTAGGGTTTAGGGTTTGTGCTCGCCTTCAGAGCTGCAATAGTGTTGGCAAGCGAGGCTTTGGGTCTGGAAGTGACCCTAAGGTTGGTGGCTTCCTCAAGTGCCTCTGTGGCTTCTTTGACTTTCTTCTCGTTCTGCTGCAGCACGAGTTTGAGAGACTGCAGCTCAGCCTGCAGCTGCTGCTGCTTCTCTGCTGCTGCTGCTTGCTGCTGCAGCGCCACTTGCAGCTGGGGGAACTGCGCACACACATCAAGCCCAGCAAAAACCCACACTGCGGAGGGCCCCCACATTCTTTATTTTGAATTGTATTTTATTGTGCTTATTGTAGATGAGGTGTACGTACACCTAAGAACACGTGTGTCACCCTGCATTTAGAGCCATGCATAACAGGGAACTCGCGAAGCGCTGAGGTGTACGTACACCCAAGACAGGGTGTACGTACACCCGCGCATGCATGCAGTTTTGCAGACGTGAGAGCGTATGCAGCGCTGGGGTGTACGTACACCTCACCAGGTCTGGAAACGCCCTGCAGGCTGCAGCTTCCCTCTGCCTGAGGGCCCCCAAAAGGGCCTCTGCTTCTTCAACTAGCCGGGGCAAAAGGGTTTCCAGTCTTCGCCGCAGACCCTGCAGCTCTGCCTGTTTAGCTTGCAGGCTCCGCTGCTGCTGCCGCCATATCAGGCCTAGTGGGGGGCCCCCCGTGCTGCTGGGGGGCCCCCTCACAGCAGCAGCAGCAGCGGAGGCCCAAAGGGCCTCTTGGGCCCTCTGCAGGTCTTCTTCGCTGACCTGCAGCACAGCAGCTCAAGTCCATTTTGAAGGATGAAGTCCTTACTAAGGTCTTAGCAATGGCGAGGGCAAACCCTAAACCCTAAACCCTAAACCCTAAACCCTAGATGGTGAGTTGTACTTCATCGAATTCGTCCGGTGGAGCGCTGCCTGCTGCAGTGCTGCTCCCTGCATGTTTTGTGTCCTTTGCCTAGAGAAAAAACAGGAATGCAAAAATTTGCATTTATTTGATCATGAAAAGCCACGGGCCCTTTCTTTTGTCCTTCTTTGCAAAGTTTGAACAGCAGCAATCATAGAAAAACATGTTATACTGTTGCTTCATATTTTCCGGGGAAAAGGAATGGTCTTCACAATGTGGCGTATGTGTACCGGAGTGTGCTGTTGAGCTGCTGCGGCCTGTTCTTTAGTAGCTGCTGCTGCTGCTGCTGCTGCTGCTGCTGCTGCTGCTGGCGTTGCTGTACTTGCTGCCTCCGCTGCTGCTGACGCGCGAGCTGTGAAGCACGCGGAAGGGGAGAAAGAAAGACGGCAGCGCTTTGCGAGCTGCGCTGCCGCCACCCCACAAGCAGCAGCAAAAAGCAGCAAATAAGATTTCATCTTTTGTCAACTCTAATCGCTTTATTAGGCCCCTTTGCAGGGGCCCCTTTGCAAAGCCTGTGCAGACACCCCAAACCCTAGCCCTTCACTGCGCTGCTGCTGCTGCTGCTGCTGCTGCTGCTGCAGCGCAGCATGCCCACCTTCTGCAGCAGCCAGTATAGCAGCAGGCTCGCCTGCCCTCCCTGGGCCTGAACGCCACCCACTGACACATCCAAAGAAAATATAATCGAGACTTTGGAAGTAGTGTTCTGAAATTAGGGCTTAGGGTATAAGGTTGAGTCCTCAAGGCTTAGTTAAGGGTTTTGTTTTCTATGCGGAATCCTCACCCTGAAAATCTCATTTGCAGACAACGCCATGGGGGCCTCCAGCTTTACAAGAGACACCTCTGAGAAGCAGCAACTCACAAAGTGGAAGCTTTTTGCTTTCCAGAATATTGTGAAGGCAAAGAAGGAGTCCTTTTGCTACTAGTGCCTACAGCATATCGCCTACGGGGGCCCCAGGAACACTCTAGGGGCCCCCAAGGCTCCAACTGGCCCTCTCTATACTTCGTGCTGGACTATTTGGACCTTGTAAACATTCCCCGAGTTTCCACAGCCTTTATGCAGCTTGGAAGCCCCTTGGGGGCCTCCAACAGGTCCCTGTTGCCTCTTAGTGCCATGGCCGGGTAGTGTTTCAAGGGGCCCCCTAGAGTGCTCCAGAAGCACGCGGGGGCCCCTGGGGTTTGCAGGGCTGCTTACCTATTGCTTTGCATGCAGCTTGAAGATCTTCTGGGTCTAGTGGAGGTATGGCACAGCCAAGCAGCTTCAGCAAGTAAAGACACATGTTGATAAAGAGGCGCAAGTCGGCTTGCTGCTGTTTTGTGTCATCGGGAGAGGAGGCGAAGGCCCACGGGCCGAATTCGGGGAACTCCCTGGAACAGCGCGCATGCATTTGTTGAAGCCTGATTCTTTTGGTTGATTTCTGTCAGAATACAACCAGCAGTAAGCCTAGTCTTGAGTTGTACTGCTGCCACTTGAATGCCATCTCGGCTAAACTTGCCAACGCCTGCCACTAATTTAGTAATCTAGTTATCCCATAATGGTACAAACAAGAATTTCTGCTTTTAAATCTTTCACGGGCCTCTCAAACGGATTCAGTACTTCGAAGGTTCCATTTTTTCCTCTGCGTGTCTTGCCGCGCTGTTCAATAGCCTGCTCTGTTTCTCTTTATTGTAATTCAGGCTTTAAACGCGTTTTCTATAACCATTCTGCAGGTTTTTCACTCTCATTATTCGTATTTATTCTTTCTTTTTTGCGAAATAGAGCAAATATCAGCTTGGGAACAATACCTTCTGATGCGGGTTTGCCGGTGTTCATCTAACGCGGTCGCCAGCACACTGGCTTCCCAAAGCAACCAAGTGCTGTCATGGGTTTCTGCTCTGTTTGTCTCCACTTTTTTTAATTCTGATCTATTTGTCTCTATTCTGTTTTCCCCTGGTAAGTGTTTGCCGGCACCGTCCCTGCCGCTGCCGCTGGAACTTGCAAGCATTTTAGGGGCAGCACATACGTTCTAATCACTGCCTAAGGAAACGCAGCAGCCACAGCAGCAGCAACAGCAGCAACAACAACAGCAGCAACAGCGGCATATTAGTAGCAGCTGCAGCCAGGCCGCAAGATCAGCCTACTGTGACGTGTGCTTATCGGCGGAACGTTCTGAAAAACGGTGAGAAAGAGTGAAAAAGAGCGAGGCATTAATGAGAATTGCAAATTAAATATTATTTGAAGACAAAGTGACCCGTAGTGCACGCAAACGCAAATGCGCGAGGGCGGATCTGGTACTGACCTTGCTCCTTTTAGCCCATGAAGCGATGCTCCAGTGTTTGGAATCAATGTGTGAACTCAGATTCTGTAATTTCTTTCCATGAGTGTATGCTGATCACTTGGAACTCCGATTAGAAATGGTTATTTGTCTTTTCCACAGCCTTTGCACCAAGGAAACTGCCGTTATCTGCAGCTACAGACGCACCCCTCTATGCAAAACATATTCTTGAGCCCTGAACTCTACATTCGCTGCTCGAAAACACTAACCCTAAACTTTACTCAACTTTTCCAGTACAGTGTGTTCTCTGTAAAAGTATTTAAACAGCCACAGGTTTATATTCAATCTCATACTCTCGGATGGAAGGCCGCGTAGTTACGCCCTTAGCGTCCACTTTATCTAGTGTAAGATATGGTTGTAGTTTGAGGCTGTGTGCCTGAGTTAGGGCTTGGGGGCTCTTGAAACTCAATGCGTTGTTGCAAATCCCAAGGTTTTAGTTGCAAAAATTGTGGTTAAATTATATGCAAACGCCAACTTAGGTGGCTTCGTAAAGATCTAGGAGAGACAGGTAAGAGTTTCTCGGTGCACCTTTCGTAGCCGCAAACGGTCAGGGTTAGGACTCTCAGTGAAATAACTGAAAAACGGACCCTAAAAAGCAAAGGAAATATATTCAACTAAAACAAATATGCATTTCTTTCTCATTTCATTGGATGGATTAGGCAACTCGCATGCGCTAACAGCCCCACGGTCACCTGGGCACCGCCTCAGTCTCAAGTCTCGTCAGTCTCCACACACACGAGCCTGAATTAGAATAAATTAGTTTCATCAGCTGTAATATGTAATCTGAAATATTTAGATCTACAGGAGGCCCAAAACCAGGCGGCGAGTGAGTGTGGAACATTGCAGATTCTCTCTCCATAGACTCACACAAGGCAAGCTATGCGCATACAAGGAACAACAACAATGGCACGGCAGAGAAGCAGAAACAAACATTACATTTTGACTGTAGAAGTTTACTCAAAGATAAAAGCGTTGTTGTCATTTACAGCGAACAGTACTCCGTCGCTTTGCTGTTCATCATTCTGAATCCCTCAATTTACCTCTAAACTCTAGACTTTAGGCCGTGAACCACAAACAAGACTACAACAATAGAGTTAGCCCTTATTTTTGGGTGTAAATCCAAGAGATGTTAAGCGTGTTACTCAATACCGTAAATGAAGCAGCCGTTCTGCTTCTAAATTCTTCTTTGTTACCTGCCAGCTAATACATGGCTGTACCTTTTCACGCACCTTTGACTGAAACAGAATGTTCGAACTACTTGACGGCTCGCATCAGGCAGCTATAAGAAGCAATATATCCGCAATAGTGAATCCTTTTGCGTGCCTTTCTTTCAGTTTTTCTGCAAGTCCTGCCAAAATGAGAGAAGCGACATTTCCGCAAATGATGAGGGGTCGGGTAGACGTGAAGAAACTGAAATTTTCAACGACTGAGCTGAGGTCCCTAGCTCTTCAGACTCATTGTAAGAGACGCAGAATGAACAAAACGAGAAACAACAAGCGAATGAACAACGGCACGCCCTGATTACGCTGTGTGCATTTTTGGGTTAGCACTACAATGCAGTCACAGATGCGGCACAAAATTTGCAGCAAAGCAGCGAATAGACTCCTCCGCTTTGTTCATTTCTTTTAAACAAAGGCGTATCTAGCAACTATTCCATTTTAAAAATAGTGCTCTTGCTTTGTATGCTTTTGCTGCTTCCATGTGCTACGGATTTCAGTTTCTGTGGAGGAAGTTCAAGCTCTTTACAGTGGTAATAGCTGCTGCACAGGGCCCAAACACATGTGACGGACACCACGATTTTTGTAAATTCTTTGGTTTCTCTCGTACAACAGATCTACTTTTTTTTTCGTGTTTATGCCGCAACAGGGTTCCGCCTACAGGCGGGGGAGCGCAAGCCCCTAGAAGGTGGACTAAGTGCTGTGAGCCTTTTGGGCTTATTCAATCTTTCAAACGCATGCAGTTTTGTCTTTGCCGACAGATTCGTTCGTCTTTTTTGGCAGCACAGGACACAGGACAGAGGAATAGAGATCGGTTTCGAGGAGTTTGTCCGCCTCCTCAGCATATGGACAAGAGGTGAGGCGTATGTTTTCATGTTTTACTGCTTGTTATTCATTAGTGTTGATGTTAGACAGTTCCGCAATAGTATTTACGGGTTTTCAGTTTATGGTTCGGGGCTCAGAGCTAAAAATGAAAGGGTAAAGGCTGAAGGGTTCTGGGTTAAGTCAAAGTCATTGGGTTTGGGTTAAGCGTCCACCGATAAGTTTACGTTCACAAGCTCCTTAACGCGAGCATGGAGATTTTTGTCATCGCGTCGAGTCCTCTGTACTGCAGGCACGCCTCATCAGCGGTTGACTTGTAAGACTACTGCAGCATGCAGATTATCAGGGCTCAGAGTTTCGGGAGTGGGGTTTGAACAGCAAGGGTTTCAAGGACATCTCTCTCGATCATCTTATGTGGCTCACGCTCACCACAACATGCATTTTATTTTTCTTTTTACAGGACTCTCTGTTCCTTGCTATTTTGCTCTGATGTCCTTTTCTTGTCTTGCTTGCAGTGCTGTTTCACATCTACGACAGAGGTAACAAGGGGTCAGTCAGGCCGTGGCGGAGTCTTCCCTTACATTTTGGCACAAACGTACACCAATTTAATGCCCAACGGCATAACATGTTAATCACTTTAGTAAAAGGTGCTGTTTCCGTGCAGATACATCGTGAAAGAAGACATAATTGACATAATGCGCTCACTCTTCATGTGTTTCCTGAAATCTGGCGTTGCCTCGTATGACTGGAACTCTGAGGAGTTTAAAGCAAAGTGGGTCATGTAAACCGACAATTTTTAAGGTTTAATGTCCATCATCTGACTTTTTACTTGTATCTAGTTGGCTAGTTTCAAAGGCTGCGGTATGAAAGTAACCATTCACGCTTGTGTTTTCTTGCCTTCTCAGGGTTATACTTGAAAGGCACTCCGAAGATGCTGTGAAGGAGTGAGTGAAGAAAGTCACACTAACTGCTAGACAAACCAAGGCAGCAGCAGAAGCAGCATTAGCGGCACTAGCGGCAGCTCCAAAGCTACTACTCAGTAGGTAGCACCCAACAACGCTGTGCGACCTCCAACAGGATGGCTCATGAAATTCTGTCAGAGTGGGCCGAGGCAGCAATAAGGTAAGTGCACTGCGAGACCTGGTCACTGAATGTTTGAAACGTTATACCCTTAAGCCTAGAGCAGCCATATGTGCTAAATCGGAAACTTGTCGTTATTCATCGGAAAAGCCAGTCACGTTTGCAGACACAGCGAACCAGGTAGAAAGTGATACTGAAAGCCATCTGCCGAATAACTCAAATACTTGCAAATAAAGGAATTCCCTTGTCAAAATTAAGAGAGCAGGGTCTTCAAAGAATATGTCCTTCACCTCTCGTTTCCATGCCGCAGACGCTTTCACACTGCAGACTCGAACAAGCTTTTGTGGTTTAACGGTACGTCGTCCTCTGCATTAGCGAAACCATGAGTTGTACTACGTATAAGAATAAGCTACGTTGTAAATGGGCAGATCTACACCACATTGTGCCAGCATGTGATGCTAGAGATCAGATGAATTGCATATCACGTGCTTACGAGTGCTGCATTAAATTCGCACAACTGTTGTTTCTTTGCACTGGTGGCCTCAGAGTTTTTGCAATGGATTATTCACGTTCCTGGGGTTGCAGAGAGCCTCTGCGTGCCAACTGATGTTTGGACTTGGCTCTTTCAAGAATGAATCCTCGCCTTTAGGTATTCAGGCATAAGTATTTACGATTGGTTAAATACGAGCCTCGTCTTGTGCGGAAAGAATTTCGCTGCGCTGTCACTGTTAAAATAAACACCGAAACTTCTCACCACTGCAATTTCGAGCAGTGGCTGATAAAAAACTGCAAACCTAAACCCTCGAATTTGTTTTGCTTGGAAGCACGCGAAGTGAACTATGGTGTCTGTTCACCGTGGTTTGTTCCGGGGCTCTCGTTTCACTTCGTGTCAGCTCCCCTTCAGTGGCACTCGAATTTGCATCCGGCACTCGTGAAAACGGAGATAATATTTAGATCCGCCTTTTATTGCCGCCAGACTTATGATATATTTCTAGGGAAAGGGGAGGAGACGCGAATGAAACAGACTTGGAGGCATGAAGCTCAGCACCAACAAAGGCATAGCAGCACGCCATACCAGCTCCACTTAAGCCACAGTTGTACCATAATTGCTAAAATTAGCTCCTCTGTGCTTAAACTGATTCCCATGAACTTGTATGTAGGGGCATTCTCTGCATATTGAGTAGAGATTCCAGCTCAAGCTATACCTGATTGTGCCATGTGATGCATAAGTGCTCATAATTGCGGGGGGAAGTGTATAAAGCGCTAATTTTGCTGCTCGTTCCATGACTTTCTCAGCGAATGTCTGTAAAAAAGCGCAGCTAGATGGTGGAACCACTCCAATTATCGCACAAGCATTCATTCAGGCTTTTACAGGCGCCCTCTTGGATTTTGCTCGTTTCGTCCAGCACGTGTCTCATCCTTCTCCCTGAATTTGCACAAAGAACGAGAAAGCAAAAGGCACCTGGCAGAAAGGCTGTCGAAGCCCTTGGCCCACGATTCAAAACTCGACGCAAAGGACGTTTTTTTAGCCGTCCAGCCTGAGAGGAACCCTCCCTGCATAAGACGCAACACGGTGTGTACATACTGGAATAGAGCAATAGCTTCATAGATATGGGGGCATCAAGGCGTGCGTGCTGGTGAATCGCTATGCTTGGGTCGAGCTGGGGCATTTAGCCCATTGAAGACTCAAAAAAGCCCACAGAATATAGGGCTGCGCATAACAGGAACAGAATCATTTCCTAAAAGTGCCTGAGATCTAAAAAAATTAAATGGATCCACATTTTTATGCATTCCGCGGATCCGTCTCCGTCTCAGCGCTTAGGGTAGCTTGGCAGATACAGTTATCTGCAAACATTCAGAAGGCTGCAACTAATCGATGGCTGGTGTACTAGCTGTAATCCATTACATTTGTTGTTGCATTTATGTATTCATCAGGCTTTTTGTGTTTCTGCTTGTTTCTGTCAAGTAGATATTGTGATTGAGCTGTGTAGATGCTCTCTGCTTTATTTCTTTGCACCGCTGGCCTTTTGTCAAGTGCGCGTTTGGCAGCAGTGGGGTCACCTGTGGGGCCTCCGTTCATGGCGGCTTCAACTGTGGCCAGAAACATACTTTTATCCTTTTTTGTTATACATATGATTTAATGTAATGTATCTGAGGTGAATAGACACGTGGATGATTTATCCCAAGCTCTCTGCATGAGTTGCGTAAAAAGCGACTCTGACTTGGTGCGCAACAGCTTCTCCCGGGTCCACGCTTAAATCAGGGACAATTTTTTTTGAATTTTACTCATTTCACCTTTTTTAATTCGAATTTGTTTTGCAGAAGGCAAAAGCCATTCGTTTCTAGGTCCACAGACAGTCTTTATGGCTTGCCGTCTGTACCCTCCAGCTCCCAGACTGCATTGAATATCTCGGCCAGTAACAATGGATACGGTTTGCTCCGAATATAGCTTATTAACCCAATCATCGCTTGACCCCTAGTCTAGTTGCCTCAAGGCCTTGTAGTATCCAGCGTGGCTTAAGTATTCGGGATCCGTTACTCATCGCTGGAGTTTGACGCTTGAAGTGAAGCGCCAATCAATCAGTCTGCTTGCCACAAAAATCAGTCCTTCAGGCCTTCTCCGTACGTTCCTTTAATTGCAGTCAATATGAATGAATACTACTACACGTACTCCAAACTCCGCCAGGAGTTTGGGCGCCATTGCTCCTTCAGCCTTACAGAGCCCCGTATTCTCGGGGTGATTGACCCTAACCCGGAGCAAATGGACCAGCTGATACCTCAAAACCCCCGCAATTTTTGTGGCGACACACTAATAGAGCTATCTGAGCACACCGTGAACACGGGCAATGTCAGTGTCTGCGGCAGGGGGATGAGGCACGTAGAAGGAGGCTGGCCGAAGGAAGTCGACCCCACGGACCCGCAAGAAGTGGCCAAGTGGAAAAAGCGAGCCGAAAGAGACCCTGCATTTTTACAGAGCGTTAAACAGCTGACAGCTGAGTGCAGCCGCGTGCTACAGCAGAACCTCGTGGTAGATCTTTTCGAAGATTATTTTAAAGGCTCAGAGACCTCGAGAGGAAGCGAGCAACGTCTCTACGCGAAATCAATTGCCCTTCTTAAGGACAGTCTAGGTCAGGGTCAAAGATCCGTGACATGCATTGCTTGGCATCCTGAAGGCCCCCAGAAGCTTGCTGTCGGTTATGGCGTGATGGAGTTCCCGGGACAGCCAGAGTCGCTTCCAACATCAGCTTTGCTTTGGGATCCGAGCCATCCAAACAATCCGGTAGCGGAGCTAGGAACTTCAAGCCCGGTCGTTTCGTTGGCGTTCAACTCTAAAATTTCAGATATGCTCATTGGGGGTTGCTACAACGGGGTTGTGTGCTTGTGGGACCTACGTAAGGGGATGAAGCCAGTTGAAGTGTCTTCCTCTGGCAGCAGCCACTACGATCCTGTATATGAGGTCGTCTGGACGCAAAGCAAGACGAACAGCGAGTTTGTCTCAGCGTCTACTGACGGCAGAGTCTTGTGGTGGGACTGCAGGAACCTGAAGGAGCCGGTTGAAGAGTGCCGCCTCACCCCACCTCCCCACTCCACTTCAACAGCTAGTGCAGGATCATCTCAAGGAGGAACTGAACAGGAAGAAATCGAAAACACAAAACTTTTGGGAGCAATATCGCTTGCTTGGTCTCTAGAGGCAGGTCCAACGAAGTTTCTTCTGGGGACTGAACAGGGTATTGTACTTAGCCTAAAAACAAGACCGAAACGACCCCCAGAAATCAATCAGTGGTTTGGCTGGGAAGAAGGGCAACACTGCGGCACAGTGAGAGCAGTTAGGCGGCATCCATTTTTTGGCAAATACTTTCTGTCAGTTGGCGACTGGACAGCTAAAGTATGGATGGAGGAAGTGCGTACCCCGCTCATCACAACACCAAACCATCTCGCATTCCTCACAGATGGTCAATGGAGTCCCACACGTCCTGGCTTGTTCATGGTGACGCGCACTGACGGCTTCTTGAGCTTTTGGGACTATTACTACAAGCAACAAGAGGTCGCATTCCAGCACAAGGTTGGGACTTCTCCTTTGACTTGCCTTTCTGTTCATCCACAAGGCGAAATGGTTGCTGTAGGAGATGCTGACGGGCGGGTGACTGTGCTGGTCCTGTGCGAAGGACTTTACGTCGCTGCGCCTAACGAGAAAGCCGCTGTTTCCTCGATGCTCGAGCGTGAGGCTAGGCGTGAGAAGAATATTGAGGTCACAAAACGGCAAACTGAGGGCAAGAGACAGGAGGAGAAGCCTCAAGCTCGTCCACGCAGTGCTGCTGTTCAAGAGGCTGTTGAAGCGGCCCGAACTGCGTTTTTCAAATCTATAGGGAAAGAGGATGAGCCATCACAAGAATCGGAGAAAGCAGAATGAAGAGAGCTGCTGAGAGACCGCCACTTAATTCGCGATTGTTTGAATCCCCTTCAATTACTCGAACGTAGTTCTCGCCGTGGTGCTCGATAGGCTTCTTCAGCTGAACAGGTGAAGTAGCAAGTCTGTCAACGTAGTGCTGCAGCTCACGGGCCGGCCTAAGACTCATGAGCAAGTTTTCCAAAGGTGTATACGAACCCCTGGCGCACTACAAAAATACACAAAGCAATCGTTTCCTGTTCCATTAATTGGACAGAACGTCTAACTCCCGGTTTTCAAGGCTGTAGATAAGTTGCGGATGAGCGCAGAGCAGCGGGAGCTCTCGGTGCTTACGTAATGTGATTTGCTAATGTCCACAGCAGTAGAATAGAGCCTGGCGACAAATAGCTTGCAAGTTAGTGAACAGAACTACGATCAACTTCGTTTCACGTTCAGATACCACCACAGAGTGGCATACGGCTAGTGTTTACAGTATGGTTGTGGCGAGAGCTCCGGTTCGTGACACTTTTTCGAGTGAGCTTCTGGTGTCCTGAACGCTATGCGAAAACAGATACTAACTAGCAAATGCTGTGTTCACCATCTTCCCTTGGCTGGCAAGGAATGTATGGGGCGTAAATTTGAAACGGCGTTGGTAAACCTTTTTTTGCTCCCAGACAAAAATCTTTTAGTGCTACTCCCACAGTGTAGCAACCCAAACGGGCTATTGGGCAGACAACGCTGGGATTGGCTTCACGTTGACCAAGGCAGCAGACTGCCTGTAGAGGGGCTACGTTCCTTCGATAAAGAACTACAGCAGCACACACTATTGCAATAGTTTCAAAAGTAATCAGTCCCGAAAAAAGGATCAACCAGCGCACTAAAGGGCACAGCATCCTAAGGAGCGCAATACGGAAAGGCCTCCACCAACGCGTGCGCGTAGAATGTAGGAGATCCTAGATGTGAAATGATCTTTCCTACCAGCGCAACATACTACGCACGCGCTAAGTATGAAGTTTCGTAGCAGCAGTGCAGTTTTGCTTGCCTCCGAATTCTGCGAATCGACGCTGTCCATACACAGGCATTCTGTCGCTACACTATTGTCTGCTTTTCAGAATACGCGATTCCAGAGAACAACGCAGCATCTGAATCTTTGTCGACTAAAGACATATTGTCATATTAGCTCTGTTTGGTTGCCGTACGGCTGTGCAACCCTAAACGTTGTGAACTGTGTCAAACGGATCAACGAAAAACTAAAAGTGCAGTGTGGCTTGAAAAAAAAAAGTATTTCAAGGGCTGCATACCGTATATACAAAACTCTGGCACTCTGAGGCAGCTGAGGGCCCAAATGTGAGGCGCGTTGGCGTTATGCTTCTGCCTGCACCTATCTAAAGAGGGCTGAGAAGACCTCTACATCGGCATTTTGGAAGCTTTTACGGCACAGAGTCATATGTGTTGTTAGTATGTTTCAAAACACCTCTACATTGAAGGATGGATACAGAACAATTCAAAACGTGCTGCGCATGCTCGTTTCCATGAGTTGACGGGGAATGTTTGAGTTTTCACAAATTCTCAGGTGCTGCAGGGAGTGCGCACGGCAATCAGTCGTCAGCGTGTGGGGCAACTGGAGCTTCAGCACCATCTCCTTGGCAAATTTGCTGTAGTTTGCGCATAGATTTATCTCTGGGGTTGACGGCGGAGCGAAATTCTTCACTTATTAGCAGCAAGATGGAGTTCAGGCGCTCTGCTTGCCACGCTTCAAAAGAAAGCTTGTCAGCCTCGGCAGGCTTCTCCTGGAAGTCAATCAAAAACATGTCCAGAGGCTGCGAAAGCAGTGGTTACTATGCCTCTGCTACTTTTGTGTTGAGTTCTTTCCAACCGTAACTTCTGTGAAGGCCTTTGCAGCGGCCACTTGGGCTCTCAAATCTGTGCAGCAAACTTGTGATGGGACCTCAGTTTGCGTGCTAACAGCACTCGGCAGCCACTGATGAAGGATACCCAATACCGAACATCCGCCTTCCTTTAGTTTTCAGTGTATTGCTAGTGAATACAGGTTGGCTTTGCGTATGGTCACTAAGCTGCGTTAAAGCTAAGGCCTTGAATAAATTACCAGGAGCTTCTACATTACTTAGGAAGTGCTGTTGCTGCCATAGGTATTACTTTTGCTGTTATGTGCATAGTTTCATAGGCACTTTTCGAAGTAGCTAAAGACAAATTTAGTGGCGTACTGCTTTTTTTGCGAGTCTCTGGGGAAGCTTAATAATGCTCACTGTGCCCCCTGTTTCGGCTACGGCTAGCACGAAGGTCTTCGAATTGAAGCAGATCCTGGCGCTAGCTGCATCACTGCATACCTGCATGAAACCCACTCACAGATGTTTGCAGACACCTTTGTCCCTCTCAATAGTCTTTCAGTAACTTTCACAAAGTCTGCCGTTGCTGTGTATTGTGCAATAGCGGCTTCGGGCGGTCCGGTGGTCCACTCAGCAGCAGCTGGTATGCCAAGAGCGCTGGAATAATCATGGCACTACAGACGACATACTTTTTGAGTTAAGACGGGAAGTCTTCGGTGTTGGCTTAGATCGTGCAGATGCAACTGTCAGCAACATCGCAGCGTATCAGACTGAACGTTCGCCTGCCTAACAGTACATCGTCGCACTTCTGCACTACAAATTCTACCTACCTGTGCTAAATGCGGCTGCATCTTAATGCATAGCTCTAAAGGCAACCAAGCTCTCTGAAAAAGCCATGATTGCTGGGATGCAGTGTATGGTGAGGCTGCTGAGGCTACTACTTTTCTGCGTTGCGTCGCACCATGCCATTTGTTGTAAGCACAGCGAATTGTGTCGAGCTGTACGGGGCCCAGGCCACATCGCTCACTGGCTGTACACAAGTAATAAATTCGAAACGAGCCGTCCCTGATTCTCTGGGTACTTTTTACGTTACCAAGAGCTCATTCCCACGAGCCAGCATCTACAGAATCACTCGGACAATACCGTGCATTTCAACTAGCCTTCATTGCTACTTCCCGCAGAAGTCTTCAGACACGTACTGTTCCATAGTCGAGTGTAACAATACTGTGCTGCAGTCGATCGTCCCACACCATTACTCGCCAGTCGGCCGAGGCAGATAGGAAAATGTGTTCATTGAAAGGACTCCAATGCAGGGTATTCACTGGCATGCTGTGTCCTAAGTGTAACAAAGCAAATCCGAAGACTATTTTTTTGCGAGACCATGTGACCATTTGCTACACCCTTGCCTTTGCACCCAAGAAAACGGCCAGTATACCTGAAGGCTTTCGCTTCACCTCGCTATGCTGTGAAGGTGTAACAAGGTGTCACACTATATTTTCAAAAGCTTGCCTTTGAATAAGCTCAGAAACTGGCCACTGTAGTCGGTGGAGCACTTAAAAATAGCTCCTTCCTCGGTCCCGACAACAAAAATCTGTGGCAATGCTGGGCAGAAGTCGAAGCAGAGTCCGGTAGCGAGAGAGAGGAGAGTTGACGATCCATTGCCTGTCGATGACTCGCCCTCCCCAAGTGCTCCCGAATCACGTTTCAGTGTCAATAGCTGCAAAAGACAGCGTATATGGCTGCAAGCTGGAAAAATCAGAGTCCATGTCTTAGGTCTTTGCCCAGTCTGCGTTAAGCCGTCAGCTAGCTCCAGTCGTGCTAGCGGCCTTCATACGAAACGGGAGCTATAAATTTATTTGACTGTAGCTCAGTCAGCGTTGCGAATATCTTGCCCACCACTTCTGATTCTAGCTTGCTCTTCAGAAGAGTCCAGCGCATGATGCAGCCATCAGCCGAAACCGAGAAGAAAGACAGTTGACTAGTGGAAGCATCAGCCTCCCAGCGCACTGAAGAGAGGGCATCAACAATAATAGCGGCGCCCCAATGAGTATTTCGTGTTGACTGTAATTTATATGCCTTTCTTTTCTTCTTTCCCCCAAGATATACTGGCATAAAGCCCATATTTTCTTAATACTGCTCTGAAGCAGAAACGGGCATACCATCCCAGACAGGATCCGTGTGCTTTCCTGTCTTGACTGTGGAGTAGTGCCATGGCCGCTTGCTGGGCGACATTGCGTCGAGAACTGCCACGTTACCATCATAAAGGCCCACGCACAACAATGACGGTTGGAGGGGATGCCAGTCGAGACTGCACACTTTCTGCACAACGCCACACTGGCAATACAGCTTGACTGGCAAAGGGCTTGAGGCCCTTATGGAAGGCGTTAAGGGGTTGGAAACACAAAGAACGTGTCCTCAGAAAATTTCTAAATTTTCTGAGGACACGTTCTTTCTCTGGCTCCGCATTATTAATCTAAATGCTTCAAATGCGTGTTGGAGGAAAATGGGCCTTACAGAGTCAAGTTTCCAAGAGTATTCAGGATGGGGCGTATTCTTGAGTGAGAAGCAGCAAACGTAGCCGCAGCCCTGTTTAACATACTCGTAGTTTCCTACATAACCAGACAGCAACAAATTTCACGCCTTCAGAAAGGAACCTATGTGTGATATTTATAACTTGCAGACTCATTCTGGTGGGTAGAAGCTTGCTAGAAACGTCCAACAGCAGCCAAAAATGAAGACTTGGCGGAATATGCAAGAGATGAAAAACTTAAACGTCCAAGGCTTCAATCTATGGCTGAACACAACAATGCTTGGCATGCATCAAAGGACAAACCGAAGCCAACTGCTAGAAGGTCGTGATAGTGTGGATTCCACCGAAGGACCATAGCGTCTTTTCCCCTAGCTCGCGGAAAGCGGAGCTCCCAGATCGGAGTCACGAGCAAGGGTGAGTCGACCGGCTCTTCATCGGTGGATTGAAAAATTCGATAGGCCTCCTGCTGAGAGTTAAAGCTTACAACACGTTCCAAAACCTGCGCACGCATGACACATTATGTCAAGATGTAATCGACTCTGCGGTCAAGCAATATCATAAAGCGCAATATTTTTGATGAACCCTTGCAGCGGGCCGACGAAAATTGCTTTGCAGCTAATAGTTAAGCTGCGACTCCGAAGGGCCACAATCACGAATAAAAGTCGCTGGACACCGAGGCACTTCACATTTACTCATCATGCCAGGCAACAAAATTCGAAAAGAGGTGCGAAATACAAGCTACGGGTCACCTTAAGAGACCACCTGAACTTGTCTGAGCTCATCAGAGTCCTGACAGAATCTTGCGGGAGCGGCTTTAGAGGCTGTCGTTCTCCTGGCTAACACGACGTGGCAGGTACACAATCAATGAGGAAAAAAATAATGGTAGGCGGTAAGTCATCATAAATACGGAACTGAATACGGCTTCTTGTTAACTGTTCACAGGTAGGTAGGAATAGTGATTCTTTTGGAGCACCTTTGCCTCGCTATCCTTTCTGTTTTGTGCCTCAGCTTCTTTCATGTAAGCGTCGTAAATGATCCAGCGATTTGCTGAATACCTCACAAAATGTGTGTGACAGCAAGTCCCTCATCAACTCGTACCACATCTATTACCACAGCTGAAGTGTGCGTAAGCCAACAGACGAATGTTGCAACGAAAAAGCACCGCTTGAGGTGGCCCTGGCAAAGCTTTAGCAGATGGCCCATACCAGTTCCACAGCATAGCCGTTTGGGCGGTGGCAGCGTTGAGCAGCTCTGCTCCCTGTTGACGCAAACCGACACTCTAATCTAACCGGTGTCTCCTCACCTCAGCATGCACAAAAAACTAGGTGCAGAGGCCTGTGTGTGTAGATGTCAAGCAATCGTTATGCAGCTCTTACACTGTGGCGCAACTTTTGATTTGCGTGGCCCTATCCACATTGTTGAACTGATTACGTATGACACGCCCTTCCTCGTCTTGTGTAGCTGGATGGAACCGCAGCAAGCATCATACAGCTTAGCAACGTGGTGTGAACGAAAGCCGGGGCGGCGCAAACAAGTGCACGCAACCGAGAAGTGAAGTCTGCATAACGTGAATTCCAATGCAAATAATTAACAAGCTGGAACAGCGATTATTCATACCTCCGTCGTCTTCAATTGCTACTTCAACAGCCTCTAACTCTCTTCGACGCTCTCTGGCTTGCTCTCGAAGTCGCAGAAGTTCCTCTTGCTCTGCAGCCTCTGGGCTGTCTTTGAGAAGCAGCGCACTACAACGCAAATAGAGGAAGCACACAGCTCTTTTGAGGAGATAATATTTTGGGAATACGTCTTTAAAAATTCACAGCAACGCAGCAGTTTCCAGAGACGAGAACATGCTTAGAAAGGGCAGCTGCAAGTACCTCTCAATAGATAAATGAAATACAGTTTGTTCAACTGTGCCTTCTTTCTTGAACTGGTTATCTTTAAAAGAAAAACGAGTAATATTCTGCGGCGCGCGAGGATTTTGGGGATACAAGATCTTCGGTGGCATGCGCTGGCGAAGCTCTTCAGGGGTCAACTGCACCTGATCCTTCTGCTTGAGCCGCTGATTAGCCTAAAGCGCACCCCGAAGTATGCAAAACCTCAGTAGTGCATTTCCATTAACGAGCATTCATCTGATAATTAAAGGGAGAGCTTGCACGCCAAAGGGTATCGTGTGGTGCAAAAAAAAATTACGCTAGGACTGCGCACCCTTACGAGCAGCAAATGCGCTAATTTATTTGTGTATGACTGGATCAGGTACTGTGGGCATGTCTGCACGCTGAAGTAATGACTGCGCCTCACCTGTGCTTCATCTCCGTCTTGGGCTTCTTCCCCCCTTATGTAAAGGGCTAATGATGAGCGTCTGTGGCCCGTCCCACGCTTTGAAGGCGTCACAGCTTTTTCTGATGGGGTTTGCTTTGGCTTGTTCATTGTGGTAGCCCACTATGCTTCCACAGGCGAAGGCACACTGCAAGGCCGAGCAGCCAGGCAGAACTTTGGCGCCAAGACACTCCAAAAAGTTCAAGAAAAAATTAAAAATAATGTAAAAAGCCACGGCAGAAGCCGCATGTAGCCTTCGTCATGGAGACAGAGGCTCAGCAAGTGTCGACGAGAGCAGCAGCGTAGCGCAGAATCACGAGGCCAAACATTTTTACAAGACTAATAGGGGACCTTGAAAAACAAAATTATTGTTTTTCAGCCCTAGGAAGGGCAGAGGGGTGAGATTTCTGGACCTTACTGCATACGGACCATTCAACGTTAACTTCAGTGCCACAGAAGCAGTGAGGGTCACCTGTTAGAGCTTGTTGCCTACGGAAGCCAAACTCGAGGTCGAATCGAACTTGAGTCAAGATTTACAATGGCACCAAGCTCATGTAAAGGAAATTCACATAAATCTTGCTCTTTTTGAGCCTGTTGATCGAATGTGACCATGCACCATCAGTGGCTGGGAGCCCCGAGACAAGAACGGACACTAGCTGCCACTTAGTGGTTCCAGCGAGCAAGCTGATAAGCCACTCACAACAAAATATCACCCAAAAATTTTGCAAAAACTATTTGAGACGCAGCTTTGAGCCAGAAATGGGGAAACAGTGCAAGATCCCACTTCTGCAAGATGCAAGCACACTCCAACAACTGTACACGCACGCGGCCAATGTCGCTAATATGGGGGCAAGTAATACAAATATTCCCCCATATGTCTGCACGAAGTAAGCCGGAAAGTTCCAGCGGTTTCCACTTCAGTCAGCAAGTGAATGTCAAGGTTTCAAGAGCACTGCCGCTCTAACAGCTCATTCAGGCCAGGCTACACCGCAATATTAACGACGTACTTCACCATACAAGCATTTACGCCTATATTTTGGATACAATGTGGGACGAGTCATCTGATTTGGGACCAATCTAAGCAATGCACTATCCATGTTCAACCACAGGATTTGTTATTTTATCTAGCTATGCCTACGCATTTTTTTCCGATTTATTTAGGATTTGGTATGTAAGGTTCAGCGTTCAGAGTCAAGTGTTTAGGATTTCGGGTTTACCGCTTAGGGTTTAGTGTTTAGAGTTTTGTTATTCTCTCCAGCCTTGCCTCCGCATGCTTTTGTCTAATTCATCATAAATGGCATTTTCGTACTCTTGTGGGGGAACCCATGGCCAGTGCAGGGATGTCCATCTGAGGCACAGCATGCCCTGTAGAGTCATACCCGATTTGGTGTATCCATAAGGCATAGAATTTACCCTGTCGACCGTCCACAATGTCTGTAAGAACTATATCTGTGCAACAACTCTGTATGTGTTGCATGAGCTCATGCTACTTATCAGGTGCTGTCTTCTTATGCGACACAAACACAAGCTTCCTGATATGCAGTTGAATAATGCATGTAATTGAAGGGTGGCACTCTTATTGGGTTTCTACGTTATCAAAACATTTGAGTCAGTATAGACGCATTCACCAGGGCTATACGCCATACAAACAGTGTTTACGTCCTGGACATCCGAGCTCTCCTCACCAAATTAGTGTACACATCTGCATGACGCTCCCCAATCTTTTGGAGGCATGAATTTGGATTTTGTCGCATTGCCTGTCTGTCCAATTCCCCCATGTAATCATTTGGGATGAGTACACCAGTACCTGAAAGAGAGCAGCAACAAGTTAACTACTTTCTGCAAAATGCCCTCATGAATGCAGTACTATCATTTCACTTCTTTTGCGTTCCAAAGCCGTGTATGAAACTTTTCATATCAGGATTTCTCCTTAAGACGCTGGCTACAGCTTCAGCATCTAGTCGTGCGGGGAGTACGACTTTTACTACAGCCCTCGTCCACATCGGGGTACCAGCAGTGAGCATTGGCACGGCCACGCTAGGAACCATTTTGTATTGGCGTTTGCTTTTCAACCATCGACAAGCTGAGTTTACGTGGAGCTTAGACTTTGGTCTCGTTCTGGCCTGCAGTAGACCTTTGCTTCTTGCCCGTTGGTCTGTGAGCAGAAAGCGGTTTTCACAGCTATTTTTGCTACGTAGCTTTGCTCGCAGGTGGGTTTCGTTTGCTGCTCATTCAACGTGCCCCCTGTGCAAATTTTTAGCCTTCGATTCCAGAGTTTGAGAGGATGCGCCTCCTCGTGACCTCATATGAGAAGACTACAGGGGAAACTGATCTGCTGTTCCTGTAGCTGTTGACGAGGAAAAGCACCAAGCAAGCTTTTGAAGTTAGTACCAACCACAAATTCAAACTGTGGTCCATGCACCGAACAGTCTGCACCCACTGCACTGTTTTGCATGCAGCTTTTCTATTGCGAGGGAATGTAGAATTGCTCGCTCAACAGAGGATTGCCGCACCCAGGCGTGCCAGAAACATACGAAACAGCAGCTCCTGAGAAATTTTCTGTGTCGGGAATGAAGTGCCCATATATTAATCCCCACAGCATCGGTAATGCACTGTGAAACTAACCTTCTAAATGTCCTTTTAGACCTCTATCAGGGCTTTCTCATAAGATCTGCTGCGAAGTTCAAAATGAAGTCATAAAGTCCATTCGTACACTGGCCTCACCCAGCAAGTGCTTGAAAGCCTTAAATGTACTTTTAAACCTTGGGCCTTCCTCTTTCTGCAGCTTCGATCGTTCGCTTACGGTAAAAGTACCGTTTTTCCTTTGTACACTTACGTTAGACGATTATTTCATGTTTCATTTGTGAAGAAGTAAGACCCTAACCCGGAACCTAATATAATTGCGCTAGAGTTGTTAAAGACTAAAATAAACTTGTTTACCACTTCCATGAATTTCAAGGTTTTGCAGCTGTATTGTGGCGTTGTTTCCCCAACGCCAAAGCTACTTTCTGAATTGCTGCTATCACCTCAGTTAAATGATTGTTGGTTTTGCCCCTCGCTGTAGCTCCCTCTTTCTTTTATTCACAGACACAAATTCATAAATAACCTCTTTCTGCCACTTATTTCTGCAGCTGAAGACATTATTCTATGCAGAGCAACCACTGTGTCTCGCTTCGTTTGGCTCTCAAAGGCAGCCGCCGAAACATGAAATTTCGTTGTCAGTCATATCAACCTACAAGGTAGTTTTAGAATAGTATAAATGCGTTGAAGTAGAAGTCGCCTTAGTCCGGCAGGTTCAGCGTGGTCTATAGCCGCCTTCGCTATAGCCATAATTGCATGAATGCATCGGCTAGCAGGGCCCCAGTATTGATGCCTAGAAAAACACCCTGCTCTTGGCTCCTTTTCTTTTGTTACGATGAACTGGCCCAAGTACACGAGGTACAGGTTTGATGCATTTTGTATGTAACCACTTGCTACCCGAAGGGATTATTCGTGATCGGGAGGAAATGCTACTAAAGTGTGACGGTCCCAATGTGAATGCCGGTACCCATCACCACAACAATTTCCAACCTAATTATAACTTTTTGACCCATCTCCCAACACGAAAAAAGTAGGGCGCACTAAGAGTGGCAAGCTGAAGCCTAGCAACTCTCATGAACAGGGGTACGGGCAAGAGGACAGCAAACTTCAGTATGCAAATAATGGGAGCTTTACTGAAGTTAAGCTTATAACCAGGCCCTTCTTACTCCACAATGTCTTCTGCCAAACGGCATAGGATTGATGGATGTAAACCTGCAAGCGGGACCCCAGCGCAACACAGCTAACCTCAAGAGGGCAGTTGATATCCTGTACCAGTTGGGGCCCGAATAAATTTTCCAAGGAATCACTGTTGGTGATTTCTGATGTCTTTGTGTCTGTCACCCCTCTGGTCACCCTACAGAAAGCGCTTCTGCCTCCAAACTTGAGCAGCCTGGTTACTTTGATGCCCGGAAAACCACAGAATTTCCAGTCTGGTTGCATGCCCGCTCAGTGCACTAGGGCACGACAACACAAAATCGGGATCAAAAAAATGACTGTGTACTGCTTTCAGATCCTTGGAGATTGCCTTCTCCTGTCTACATTGGCTCCAAGTACTCAAGCTGCTGATTTCCTGCCATTCAGTGCGGTGACTCCTAGGAGAAAGTTGGGAGGGAAAGCTACTTGCACTCGCGTATACTTTTCCTCGGAATCATTCATAAACTATAGTTATGGGATCCTGTGCACTTCGTAGCATGCACCTCTTTTGCCATTGATATTGGGCTAGCCTGCATTTGTGCAAGCAGAGTTTAGGATTTAACCTTCGACCTGTAGTGGGTTTAGGGCCATATCAGAATGCCAGAGCCTTTGCCAAAACGTATTCTGTGCAACTCTGGAAGAACCCTTAGAATACTTCGCTATTTGCTAACAGGAACGTAACATGAGCTTCGTCAGTAAGCTGGGCTTGTACTGCACTCGCCGTTCCTGTCTCGGCACACCCCGAACTCACGTCTGTTCTCAAGCGTGAGCACCCCGTAGCAGCCGTTAACAACATCAACGAGGCAGCCTTAAGTTAAGAAAAAAGCGTTTCCTGCATAGTGGAATTATCTTAGCTGAAGCCTGTTGTCTTTTAGTTCTGAACCGTGCGGGCAGCCCCGTTGAAGGCCGGGTTGTCTTGGTATCCGAGTTGAACTACTACAGAATTCTTAGAGCTGTTGGGGCTCCCAGGTATTAAAATCTGAAGTTTAAATGGATAGTGGTCAGAAGGGCTTTTGAATGTGAGGGTTACGGGGGAAGATCGCTTCAGTGAGCCACCAAGAAAGAGGTTCGTGCTTAACAGTGTTAGAAGCAGTTCACCAGCGAGCAAAAGTCTCCAGTTCCAGTTAATTCCCAGAAAACAGCAGAACAATATTTCGGAATCATTTCCCAATGGCTGTCATGGCTCGCCATCAACACTCTCACGCGCTGTGAAAGTATTAAGGGTCACCTGAGGGGCTCTTGCTACGGAAACGGGCTGGCAAAGAGCAGCCCAAACGCGGGCCTTCAAAAGAATTCTTAATTTATTGTCTCGCGGAGCAAATACTTTGATACTAACG